GTGATGCTCGAGTTGGTCATCATTTAGGATTCCTTTGCTCCCCAGCACCCCTCACCGACTGGATAGTATCTCCAATTTACTGCCAACAAACGTCCCTTTCTAATTTCTGGAAAGAAAGAAATGCGAGACCTGCAACGTCCCTTTCTAATCTCCTCTAAATTCTGTGCTGTGATTATTCTTTCATTCCTTGTTGCCTCGGCACGCACATGTACAGTTTTTTATTTGTTTGTTTGGATACAGTAGTGTCCTTAACTTTTTCTCTGCATATGTGCATATTTGCCCAGATGCTTCGGAACATCTGAAAGCAGGGCCTCAGGCTTTTAGTTCCTTTGTGTCTCCCCCAAGGCATTAAGAAAACGGATACTGGCCCTCGCTGGTTTGGCTCAGTGCATAGAGCGTCGGACTTCAGGTTGGAGGGTCCCAGGTTCGATTTCAGTCAAGGGCACATGGCCGGGTTGCGGGCTTAATCCCTAGTTGGGGGAGTGCAGGAGGCAGCCGATCAATGATTCTCTCTCATCATTGATGTTTCTATCTCTCTCTTCCTCTCCCTTCCTCTCTGAAATCAATAAAAGAAGAAGAAGAAAAAAAGAAAATGGATACTAGCTTTACACATCCCACCCTAAACCACTATCCTTAAGCTCAGGACTCACCGTCTGACAGCTTCTGGGATGTGAACCTGATCCAAGGAGATGAGTTGGCCTAGTTCTCCCAGGCTGTTCAGAAAACGAATTTTTCGTGTGAACTTGGAACTGAAAAGAGGGGATAAACCATATGTGTTGTATACTGGGAAGAGGGCTCCTGGAGACCCTTACAAAGGGAAATGGAATAGGTGGAGAGTGGTTAAAAGACTGGAAAGAGTCAGGATGGGGCAAGTTCTTCTTGATTTTGAAAATGGGAAGAAGTGGGGAGCATTTGAGATCTTGTTCTAGAGCTTATGTTATCAATTTGGTTCAAATAAACTCATTTAAAAAAAAATGGGAAGAAGGGGAAGGTAGGGGGGTCCTTGTCCCCAGAGCTCCTACCTGATGAAGGGCCGAAGCAGTGCCAGGAATGCCTTCATATACCACGTAGCATGGACAACCACCAGGGCACGCAGGTTTTTCCTTAGTCTGAAGAAGAATAGGAGATCACCCTATTTCTTCTTCCATCTTTATACCTGAAGATCAGGTGGAGCTATATTCTTTAACTTCCTTCCCTTTTCTAATTTCTAGATTTTTCTGGCAACTGGGTCTAACCCCCATTCTTTTAATTACAATCTCAGCTCCATCCATTTTATTCAACCCTCCATGCTCCTTATTCTTAGGAAATTCTCCTCTCAGAATCCCTCAGCTTGATCTTTGATACCCCATTTCCCTCCCGTGTCCTACCCTCCTCATATAAGTTCCTTTGGTACACTTCCCCATCCCTCCATGACCAGGCCTATTTATAAAACTCCAGGTGGAAGAAGGCCAGTGAGGAGAAAATAAAGAAGAGGGAAGAAGAAAGAGACAAATGAGCAAATGGAAGATGGGGGGAAGAAAGGAACAAAGGAGGGAAAAGATCTGTGGGTCAGGGAGGAAGGCAGAAGGAGATAATGGATTGGAATTTGAAATCAATGGCAAGACCACAGGGAAAAGGTAGGGTGCCTTCTACATGCCAGGCAATATGCCACTCTGATTTACTTTACTTTCAGAAATACCCAGCAGCAAAGGTATTTTGCCATTTTGCAAATAAGGAAACTGAGTCCCAGAAAGGTTAAAGGTTAAGTGACTTGTTCAAAGCCATAGAGCTGATCAAAACAAAATAATCAATCCCCCCTGCCTTCCCTCCTCCTCTCCGCCCCCGCACACACACAAATCCAAAGTCACATAGCTGGTTGGCAAAGGCAGATTTGAAACTTGATTTCTCTAATCCCAAGAGAGAACAGAAGACAGGAAAGGGTTGGAACGGGGTGTAGAGGGACAAAAAAGAGGAAGAACTAAATGGAAGTAGAAAGAATGGAAAGATGGAAAAGGGTGAGGATTGATAAAACAAAACAAGGTAAAATAGGCTCATAGCCCCTTGTTCTGAGGCTCACCGCCGATCCAGAGTCCGGTAACACTGGCGTATCCAGCTCAGAGGTGGAACTTGAGCCCTGCTTGTGCCTCCATTCAAATGAACAAGCAGATAATTTTCCGCTACCAGCAGCTCCAGAGTTCCCACCATATACCTGGAGGGACAAAATTGTCAGGAAAGGTATATGTTTTGGGTTGTGGGAAATGAGAGGGACCTTACTGTAGACTCTACAACCAGCTACTGATCAAGAAGGGGTTTCTTTGGTTTCTTTCTTACTTTTCCCTCCCTAACCTCCATCCTGGAGCCCTTCAGGCCTTCCAGCTCACCTAAATAAGTGTTCCATGACATAGGTATAGTTGGGAATGCTGCTTCTGGGTAGATAACAGGAAGCAAAGAGGATGACAGCATTGAGGCCCTCACCATGGTAACCTGGAAGGATAAGGGAAAATTGACAGACCTGGTTAGGTTGAGGGACTCTGAGGATTGTGAACCCAATAACAAGGTTCCAGCTTAGGCATTTTATTCCAGAAGTCACCGTTCTCACCCCTCCACTTATGCTAGCCATTACCTCCATGAGATAGGACTTTCTTATAGGGCTCAATGACAGTCATGTCCACTCGCTGCTCCCTCTGCCCTGTCCGGAAAACCCTCCAGCGATGGCCATCTTCTCCAGCCACATCCCACATACAACCCTGGCCCAGCCTTTCAGCTGCCTCACTGGCCCCCAGGCCCTCTGCCTGGGGTAGCTCATCTAAAAGAGAGGGATGGGGAAGGATCAACAGGGCGGAATACACACCTTCAGTATCTTGTACCTTCCCCAGATGCCTAGCGTTTATTACTCAACTTCTCATTCCTCAGTTTTCCCCCATGACTCTAGCCCTAGTTTGTTCAATACACCCAGACCCTTGCGGGTTTCAATTTCCCGTGACTCATTTTCCTCACAGTGGTCTTGAGGTAACCTTGACTCTGGTAGGTCAATGGCCCTTGACACTATGCGTTTTTTTCTGGATTATTTATTTATTTATTTCCACACTTCTCCTTGGGTGAGCTCACCTATTCCCATGTTTCAGTTACCACCAAGAAGGTGATGACTTCCAAACTTGCCTCTTTAACCCAGGCTTCTCTCTTCACTCCAGACCCATGTCCCTACGTGCCTAGACTGGACATCTCCACCTTGTCTGTCTCTGTCATCTCCTAGTCACCAGACACAAAGTGCAACTCAACGACATGCTCTTCCTCCTCTCTCCCATATTTCCTTTCTTGGTGAATGACCCCATCTCTCTAGCTTCCTGAGAGAGAAAATTGTACATCGTCCAAGACTCTTTCTTCTCTATCAGCCCTCAAGCCAACTGGACTCCAGATCCTCATTCCTCTACCTCCATTACATTCTTTCCACTATTACTGTCCTGGTTCAGGTTCTTACCTGGCATTAGTACAAGCCTAACTGGCCTCCCTGCCTTTAGTCTGTTTTCCTCCATTCCACCCTCTACACCACCACTCAAGCAAGCTTTCTGTTCTCCCCTACCTTCTTTACTGAAATGGCAATATACTACACCCACTAATTCTCCAAAATCTTTCCATGACAATAGAAAGAGCTGCCTCATCTTAAAAAATAATTGCCTAGTACTTAGTATTCCATCCTAACTGGCCTCCCTGCCTTTATTCTGTTTTCCTCCATTCCACCCTCTACACCACCACTCAAGCAAGCTTTCTGTTCTCCCCTACCTTCTTTACTGAAATGGCAATATACTACACCCACTAATTCTCCAAAATCTTTCCATGACAATAGAAAGAGCTGCCTCATCTTAAAAAATAATTGCCTAGTACTTAGTATTCCATTGCACCATAATAGCATTAATATTCTACTGGGGGAGCCCTTAGGTTATTTCCAATCTTTTCAGAGCAATTAAATCTGATCATGTCATTCCCTTGATTAAAAGCATTCAATGACCCCACCCCCCAATTGCCTATCAGATAAAATCTAAATTCCTTAGCATGGTAGCAAGGATCTCCATGATTTGACGTTGCTTGTTTAACATAGCACTATTTTTTGTTATTCTCTCTTCACCTCTCAGCCCTTCATATCTGAGTGATATTGTATTTTGTTGTTGTTATTTTGTTCCTGGCTCTGGGGACAGCTCCTGATGAAAAAAGTGAAAAGGTGTTTTGTTATTCATAACAAGCCCCTTTCAAAAACATGGGTTTGTATTAATGAGGTGACATTGGGAAGCCCCTAAGGATGGGTAGCTGGTTGCCAGGGGAACCATCCATGTGATTAGAAGGTTGGAACTCTGGGGAGGATATTTTGTTGTTATTTTGTTCCTGGCTCTGGGGACAGCTCCTGATGAAAAAAGTGAAAAGGTGTTTTGTTATTCATAACAAGCCCCTTTCAAAAACATGGGTTTGTATTAATGAGGTGACATTGGGAAGCCCCTAAGGATGGGTAGCTGGTTGCCAGGGGAACCATCCATGTGATTAGAAGGTTGGAACTCTGGGGAGGGGAGAGAGGAGGGAGAGGTTGTGTTAATCACTAATGGTCAGTGAATTAATCAGTCATGTCTACATAACGAAGCCTCCATAGAAAGCCTATCAGAAGGGGTATGAAGAGGCTCTGGGTCAGTTAACGCACGGAGGTGCTAGGAGGGTGGTGTGCCGGGAGAGGGCCTGGAAGCTCCACACCCCTGCCCACTCACCTCGTCCTATGCTTTTCTTTCTCTGGCTGTTCCTCTTATAACAAATCTGTAATCCAGTAAGTAAATTGTTTTCCTGAGTGCTAGTGAGCCATTCTAGCAAATTATCGAACCTGAGAAGGGGGCATTGTGTAGCCAGTTGGTCAGAAGCACAGGTGACAGCCTGGACATGCCACTGGTGTCTGCAGTGGGGGGAGGGGCCACAGTCTTGTGGGACTGAGCCCTTAACCTCTGGGGTCTGTGCAAACTCCAGGAAGTTAGTGTCATAACTGAATCTTAGACACCTGTTAGTGTCTGGGGAGCTGGAGAATTGGTTGATGTGAGGAAAACTCACACGTCGGTGTCAGAAGTGTTATGAGTAGAGAAGAAACAGTTTTCCTTAATATCTAAATAGTCATGCTTAATCCTTTGAGTTCCCAACATGTCATGCTATAGTCCTAGGTGCTTCTCCAACCACCTGATAAACAGCTGCTCAGAATCACCTCCTCTGTGAGGTCTTAGGCAGAACTGACCTTTTCTCTCTCCCTGCGTACATTGTACCCTGTACACATGCAGGTCATAACCTTTAACTGCACTTATTTGTATATATGTTTATTTCTTACCAAACAGGTAATTCTCTGAGGGTAGGGATCTTATTCATCTTTATAACTCCAATGTTAGCTCAGTGATGGCATGCAACAGTCATCCAATAGTTTTTCTTGATAAACAAAGGACCCCACCCCTCCTCTATTGGACTACTCTCCCATTGGATTTCTAGGTTCTACCTTTCCATCCTCAAGAACTAATTTTGCTGACCTTACCTCTCAGTCCCCACCTTATCAGTTCTAACTTCAGTCCCATTAAATCCATCCTGAGCTTTATCACGGGCCTCTACTTCTACCTGCTTGTTCCTCAGGTTTCTTTCCCACCTTCCCATTCAAATTCATGTCCACTGTCCAGCTTCTCAGAGTCTGAAGGTGTCTCCAATTCGTCTATTTCCAGGTCAGTACTGTCATCAGGAGAGGAAGGTACAGAGTGGATGGGAGAAACACCATTATCTCCAGGCCCCTTCGTCAAATTCAGTCGTAACTCTGGGGCAGAAAGACGTTTACGCATGCGGCGCTGGCCACACAGGGCTAAAGTGCTGGGGGTACCTGGGTGGGGGTAGGGGGACAAAAAAATAGAAAGATGCGTGTGTGTTGGTTAGGATTCTTTGTATGTGGAAGTGATAATATGGGGTGAATTCTAAAGGACTAACACAGGGGACAGTTGGGAAAAGGGAAGTAGAACTGCAAAGGGATGAGGGCGGCATAACCCTCCACTGGATTAGAATCACGAACTTGAGGCCTAGGTTCTAATTGACCTACCTGCCTGTGAGTCTCTTTTAGGATCGTCGGGGTCTTCAGAAGAGTCAGACTCTTCAGGAAGCAATCTGGGGGGAAACAAGATTAAAAGGGGGAAGAAACGTAGGCTAAAGGCACCAAGCCAGGTATCAGTTCTCTCCTTGTCATGAGTTTACACCTCTGCTTTCCTACTCCCACCTCTTCAAGTTCTAATTTGCCATCCTTGCCCTCCGTATAGGCTAAAGGCACCAAGCCAGGTATCAGTTCTCTCTCCCTGTCATGAATTTACACCTCTGCTTTCCTACCTCTTCAAGTTCTAATTTGCCATCCTTGCCCTCCGTCTGTGACCATCACTTCCGTCTCCCAACCTCCCTCTCACCTCCTCACCTGGGGAACTCTTCATCCTGCCATTCCTCCTTCAGCTCCAGTTCTCCAAGTCTCACGGAGGCTCCTAGTCCTGCTGCTTCCGCATTCTCCCTGACCCTAAGATAGTCCCCCGTCCCCCGGAAGGAAAGATGATCATGAGACAAACTAGGTAATGTCTTGAGGGAACTGGATTATACGTAGGAGACACAGGAATGAAGAATAGTAATTAAGGGGCAGAGCAGAGAACAGGCCTTGAAAAGAACTTGTCTGGTAGATGTTTCTACCATCTTCACCACTTGCTGGAAACAGGTCACCCCTACTGCTTGGGGTTAGGAGCAGAGGAAGGGGAGATGTAAAGCTCATCATATTTACCTCTATGGCAGTTGCTCCACCTACACAGTAGGGGTGAGAGGTATTCCACATGACAATTGGCTGGAAGCCGACAGACCTGCCCAGCTGTCACTTGGCAAAGTCCAGGAAGATGGCACCTAGGCAGGCCTGCCTTTCCTCCACCTGCTGGGGAGTGGTCAGGGGAAACCAGGTCTAGGTGGAGGGGAGAGGAAGAAGGTAAGGAGGAAGAGATTTGCTGGGGAGAGCCTGGACCCAAACTTAGTTCTGGGTCAGCTTTCCTGACAGCCATTCTGGAGTATGGGGGTTAGAAAACAGAGAATAGGGGCATATTTATCAGACACAAAATATAGGAACTTCCTTTACAAAAACACACACTAGGGAATTACCCTGGACTCCTTATTCATCAGTTCCCATACCATACCAACATTTCCTACCTAAAGCCACCCCATCCCTTCTCTGTAAATTAATTCCTACAGCTTTTTTTTTTTAGGTTGTAAAAGTAAACTTCCCCAAATGTTAATATTTACCACATTTGTTTTATCATTTTCCCCTCTCTCTTTCTTCATATATTCATACTTTTTCCCATTTGACACACATGATGAACATAAGATGATGCCCCTTTACCCCTAAGTATATACTTTAATGTATGCTTCCTAAAAAACATAGCACTATTATAAAAATCAGGAAATTAACATTTACATAATATTATTATTCTAATCAAGAGTTTATTAAAATTTTATCAAGTATCTTAATATTGCCATTTATGGCCAATGGAAAAAAAATAATTTTTAGGGTAAATGTTTTTTTTTTCCAATTGATTATTTTTCTTAGAAAGGAAGGGAGAGAGAAACAGCAATGTGAGAGAAAAAACATCGTTGGTTGCCTCCAGTATGCGCCCCAACTGGAGATTGAACCTGCAACCTAGGTATGTGCCCTGACTGGGAATCGAACCCACCACCTTTTGGTGTATAGAACGCTCCAACCAACTGAGCCACACCAGCCAGGGCGGAGAGTACATTTTTTTAAATGGCCAGTCATGAAGGGCTCTCGGGAGGCAATTTGCTCTTCTTTCTAGACTCCTTATAATCTGGTAGCTGCTCTTAAAAAAAAAAAAAAAAAAAAAAGGCAATGGTAAAAACCATTTGGTTGTAGGACTATCTTGGTCCTACACCTTTTAGAGCATAAGCAAAATCAGCAACACAGGAGTATATTATAAGGATGGTTCTAGAAGAAGAAACAAATGGAAGGAAAGGCTGAGGATGGGGAGAGCTAAAAGACTGTTGCTCCTTATTCCCCACAAGAGTCAACTGAAGGAAGATATTAAGTACAACAGGAAGAAAGGAGAAAATATTGAGGAAGCTAAAACAATTACCTGATGGAAAAGCCTGACTGTAGTTGTAAAAAGAGACACTCAGACCCCAACCAGGAAAAAATTATTTAATACTTTAACAAAATGCAAAATAAAGTACCCAAGTAACAAAACATAAATTCCTTTGGTTCAGTAATCACACCACTATTTTTATCTTCCAATGGCTATACACATCATCCCCTCAAAGTGAAGTCACACGGTTGTCCCCTTCACACTGAAGACATCATGCCAAAACCATCACATACCTCACTATGCAGTGAAACTGTTGGCAACTTACATGGAATAGAGCCTTGGGGTAGGAAAAGGGGGAACAGGTTGGTGTGAAGGAAAAAGGGAACTACACATGCAGAACAGTCAGTGGGAGGGAGCTCTTTGTTGAATCACTATGGCATGAATCAGACCCCTGTACATGCTACATGAGGCTGAGTCCCTCGGTACAATCACATATAAATACAGACAATCCAGTGACCCTGAGCACTCCCAGGGAAAACAGAACTTCTAGTCTAGATCCTTAGTTTTATAGATGGGGAACATGAGACCTAGTGATGGAAGTGTCTTGCCAAAGAACACACAGCTCATGGCAGTCCATATTAGGACTCCATGTTTCCTTGTAATCAGAGCAAGAAGAGAATGACATGGACAAGAGATTGACAGACCCGCTAAGGCAGGGGACAGAGCTGAGGCTCTCAGGGCAGTTCTGCCATCTTTTGGGAAGAGTGCCCACGAGGCCTTTCTGAGTGCCTCCTGAACGCTCAGGGGTCTTTTGAGTTTCTTCAGGCTCCCTGTGGCTTTGGAACAAGGGATCCAAAGAAACTGAGAGCCAGGCCACATGATCAAGGCAGAAGATAATGGCCTCTAACCTGCTCCCAAAAAACCCTAAAAGAGTCACAGTAAGTTCAGGAAAAACATTTAGCCATCTCAGAATCAGACACCATTACCTAATGGGGCAGAAAGAGGAGTCATGGAGCTGGAAATCTAAAGGCTGAAAGCTGGAATAAGAGTTTCGAAGCACTCTATTTTCTGCCGAGCTTAGAGTAGGTATTCCATCAATACTTCAATCAATGAGAGAACAAATGAATACATGGAGACAATGGAAGTTTGGTTCCATGGGAGATACTGGTTCTGTTAGAGCCTTGCTGAGGGCACTGTTGGGGTGCACATTCTTTTTGTGCCACGCTGCTGGAACAGCATAGGAGTTACATCGTACCCCTAGGGAGTCAGTGCAGATCTAAAGAATTAAATTAAATAACAGAATCTGATTAGGAGAGATTGGGGGGGGAAGGTAGAAAGCCATTCCTAAAGCAGCTGCTTTCTTTTACTTCTTTCTCCTCCCAGATTTACGAGAACAGGACAAGTGCACCAGACCCTGGAGCAATGGAGACAGAATTGCTGAAGCCTCTCAAAACATGCATTCGAGGTGGTTCAAGCAACCCCGCCCCCCGCCCTCTCCCCTCCCAATAGTCACTTCTTGGACAGGAAGGCAGCGGTGGATTGTGACAGCGAGATCTGACTGCACTTCTCAAAGATGGCCTCGGCTGAGAGTTTAGGCAGCCCCTGATCCAGAGGGCACTCATCCACCAAGCTGTTCATCGGTGTGGGGGGCAATGGAGGCTCCTCCTCATCTTGACTCAGTCCAGGAATCAGGGAGGTACCTGCCCTGTCCGATTCCTTGTCCACCTGCTCCCTGGCAGCCTCAGGGTGCCCTGAAGGGATTGTCATGGAGTCAAAATATGCTGACAGGGCTTCCTGGAGCAGAGGCAGAAGTTTCTTTCGAGAGACCTGGGTGTTGCCTTGAAGATAGGCCTGGAGGTTAGGGTGAGTGCTTAGGGCAGGGGTCAGCTTCAGGGCCGGAGAGTGGGACCGTTCCAGGACTCCACAGATCTAAAGAGGCGGCAAGATGGGGAAATGGTATTTCAGGTGATGAAGCAAACTGCGGAGGCAAACTGCTGAGGCTTCTAAGTTGGGGGCTTCTCTTACAGAGGAGAAAAATTTTTAAATCACCCAGAGTTAAGCTTTATTGCTTGCAACAAAAGGCATATCAGCTAATATACATAGTATTTTATTTATTTATTTATTAGTTAATCCTCACCCAAGGATATTTTTTTTCCCCATTGATTTTTAGAGAGTGCAAGGGAGGGGGAGAGACACATTGATTGGCTGCCTCCTGAACATGCCCCGATGGGGTCAGGGATCGAGCCTGCACTGCAATTTAGGTACGGGACATGTACCTATACTGAAGTCAAGGGAAGGACAGAGGCAGAAAAAAATGAATAGATCAAAGTGAGGGTGGGAGGTATGCCAGGCATGGTGCCAAATCTGGCCATTTATCAATACTGTATTACCTCATTTAATCCTCACAATTGCTTTATCAGATTGGTATTACTATTACCCTCACTCACAGGTAAGGAAACTGAGGCTTAGACAGATCAGGTGACTTCCTAACGTCTTAGTTTGAAGGAAGCAAAGCTGACACTGAAACCCAGGTCGGTCACCAAAGCTGGTGTTCTGAATCACTGTGTTCCTAAAACAGGAGGAAGAGAGGCAATGGTAGGGCTGACTGTGAGAAGAGGGCCCATTTCCCAGCACCAGGCAGCCTGGGCCATGGCAGTGCCATCACAGCTCCAGGGAGCAGCACCGAGGGGCTGTGGTCGGGAGAAGGGGGAGAGATACAGGAAGGTGGAGAGAGGCACTTCTACTGGCCAAAGTACCTTGTCCTTTATGGCATGATTAGTAGAAGCCACCTTTTACCCAGTGTTTACTTTGTGCCCAGCAATGTACTATTCATATATTATGTTTAATGATCACATCAGACTAATTAGGAGGTAATATTATGCTATTTACAGGCTCAGAAGTCAACTGACTTGCTTTAGCTCAAAGAGAAAGTAAGTGGCAAATCTGGGACAGAAAACCACGTCTATTTGCCTTTAAAAACTGTAGTCTTTCCACAGTGCCCGACTTCCTTCCACTGAATGAAGTTACACTCGCTTCCTCCAGGAGAAGACAAAGGTGTGGGAAAGGGCGGGCGTACCTTTTACAGGCTCAAAGGATTATCTGGCTGTATTCAGACCAGTCTTCAGCAGTCATCACACAGCCCAAGCAACCCAAAGAGGCCCTGGACTGCCTTAGGTCCACTTTCAAATTCTTCCCGGGGCTAATGAGTAACCAACAGAGGAAAAGAAAGGGGAGGAGCAGGGAAAGGGGGCCAAATGGAAGACCAGGCAAGAAAACAAACCTGTTCCCGTCACTTCCCCACAGTCAGCGCTATACAGTGAGTACTCCCCGCAGGGTAAGTAGTAGGAAAAGTGCCTCTTGTGTTTCCCCTGTCCAGGGCGATCGGGTAAAGGGAAAGGAACTGACTTTCAGGGGTGAGGAGTTCATGATTAAACAAAGAATAGAGTTTAACTCCAGATTCGTTTACATTCACTTTTAACCCGATTTTCAGATCTCTTCTAAGTAGGAAC